TTCCAATTTGTTCAGGTATTTATTTTTTTTTCTAGTAGAGGATAGTCTACTTTACTCGTCTGTCCATCAATACTAATAATATATTGGACTTTTTGTTAGTTAAAAATAGTTAAGTAAAAAATGTTACAATTGACCCCACTCTCCCCTACTGTTATTACTTTGAGAAGGTTGCATAGCTTCAATTTTACAATTTAAGAACGTTCTTTTTGACGCTCAAATGGATACAACAAAATTTGAAAGCATGGTTATAGTAACTAATACCTTTCTTAAATGATGGATATCATGATTTATTTTCCAATTAAATACTGTCGTTATTTTAGAAATATTGCTTCGATATTAGATTTTAATAACTTTCTTTTGGACGTGCAAATTGATATAAAAAGAAAAGCATTGTTATAGTAACGAATACGTTTCTTTAATGACCGATGTTAATATCATAATTTGTTTTCCAATTAAGTACTGTTATTATTTTGTTATTTTTTACCCCTTTGGTAAACATATTCATTTAAATATCGATGCATGACTTAAACCTAGTAAATAATCGTTCATAAAATATAATGCAAACAATGAAAGTTTAAAGGTCGGAGAGAAAGAGTGGAAATTTTTATAGTAAAGCTGTGTTCATAAATTAAGAATGAATTTTACAAAAATAAATAAAATAGAGTGTGTGACGTCAGAAGAAAGAGAAGATGCGTCGATAGAGCACATGCGCAGATTGAGGAAGGTGCCCGGCCATGCAAACTGCTCTTCATCTTTGAAAGCAGGAATGCCGTTCAAAAAGTAAACTCTGCTGCGGTATGATAGTCAAAATTACAGAAACATCATTCTTAAATGGCCACTTTTCTGGAAGAACCTATCACCCACCCTTTTGCTTGCTTTCAAAGAATTAAATGGTGCTATACTTCATTTGAACACTATTCTTCCCTTTTTGAACTTTCAGGGAATCGATACGTACTTGTGTAAATAAAATTCTTTTTAATAACTGGACTCAAAGATTAAAAAACAGTGAAAAATAAAGACTGATTCTCCAAGTGACCTTTTGTTATGAGCCACGAGAAGTCAGGTACATTTATTTTATTATTCAATGTACAATTTTTTTAGCTTTATATTTGAATTATATTTTATAAAATACTTATCAAAATTAAAGTAAAAAGAAATAAAAACAATAATGGTAGCAGATTAATATTGAAATTGAATTCAGACGAATTTCCACTGAGGTAAGCGGAACTGAGAAAATCAAAACCAGTTTGATTGCCTTAGCCCCTTGCCTTATGCCATTAGAGGGACTACCAATAGTACCCTTGTAACTCTTCCTGCATTCACAAGTAAACGAAACAGTTTTGATATTCTCAGTCCCACCTTCCTCGGTAGTGATCCGTTAAATTTCGATAGCGTCTGAATTTTAATTAGTTACACCTAATGTGATATTCAGTGTGCCCGTAAAGTCATAGTGCATTTTAGACCGGTCACAGATCAAAATTGCACCCCGACTTGATGAACACACTGTACTTTTGTAATTTCTATTTCGATAAGGGCTTCATAATATATATTTGGGGGGAACATTAAAGAACACTTTATATCTATCTATCTACGTCAAATTTTCTTTTGTTAATGCATTAAAAATATGATAGTAGCAAGTTTTACAATGATCCCATTTCTTAATTTTATTAATAACAAGAAAAATTTTGGAATCACTGCATACAGAAATGGTTGCCAGTCATACTTTTGTCTAAATCAAGATAATTTCAGCATATTTAATGGTGCAACCATCAATGTATGCTGCAATAACTTTTTTCTTCCCAATGACCACCTGGAGAATGAACTATCGTCATGCAGGCATCTGAAAGGTAGATTTGTTGGCCACACTTACAGGGGTAGCATATTAAATGGGCCAACGTTGCTCCTACAGTAAGGACAGATAGTATGGAGAATGCATCCATGCCTTTCTCGGGATTCGAACCCAAAACCTTTCTAATGCAAAGCCATTTCCCTGACTCCTACACAGACCGATTGGCTGCTACAATAACTTTGATGATTAATTAGATTCGAATGAGGCTGATCAATTTTCTTGTCGCTGACAGAAGGGTTTTAATCCTGGTATGAAGTTTTTTTTTGCTCGTAATATCTAAAAATGTCTAATAGATAGCAGCTCTTTATTTGTTATTCACTGTATATTCTCAATTTATAACACTTTAACTAATATTATCTTCAAGTAATGGAGATTAAAATCACTGCATTTTCTAGATTCTTGTTAGTTCGCACAGATTTTGATCGATATACAGAAATAGGCTACTTTTTTTTCCTATGCGACACCCTTCGATTGAGACTTATTCGAAAAGAACTTGATGATAGATTTATAGTACCGAAGATGTTGATAAATCAATCAACAAGACTAGTTAAAGAGAAAAAAATTTGGTGAAGATAATCCGAGGGTTAAAGAACTATTTTTAGACCCATATAAAACTCATTATTTACCCTTTGTAGTATAAGGTAAAGAATAATGGTGGTTAATTCAGACCCGTGGTTGCAAATAAGAAACTTTAACATTGCTATCTAGACTTGCGAGGTATTGATATTGATGCTTTTTTTCCTTTTTTCACCTAACTCAACCGAAGCAGATTGAACTAATAGTTAAGCAGTTATTAAGGTTTTATGCATAAAAAGTCCAATTTTGTACCTATGCCTATTTATATATCTAAGAATGCGTTCTAAGTAAATAAGGTCTGTTTTCTACGTATTCCTTTTTGTGGTGTATCAAATGAACAAAGTCAAGAGTAGGGGAGAGTGGGGTCAATTGTAACATTTTTTACTTAACTATTTTTAACTAACAAAAAATCCAATATATTATTAGTATTAATTGACAGACGAGTAAAGTAGACTATCCTCTTCCAAAAAAAATAAATAAATACCTTATTTTAAATGTTGTTATATTAGTTATTAACAATTTTTGACAGTCGTGCACTTGTTACAATTGTCCCCACTTAAGGGGTCAATTGTAACAGTTCATAAATTCAACTAAAACATAGTTAATTATACATATTATCATAGATGTGATATATTTTTTTATTGATCAAAATAGTATTGATATTTTAGGAGTAAAAATAATAATGAGCAGAGACCTAAAGGGTTAAACTTTTAACTTTAAGGGGTTAAAAAATTTAATTTCTGCTGTGAAAGGTGACAAATAAAATAATGCACTTGCAACATAATATAAATGATATAGGAAACTATTGGAGGTTCTTAAAGAGTTAAGTAATGGTTTGTGAACATAAGATTAGTTATTTTCAGCTGTTACAATCGTCCGTTTACTTACTGTTACAATCGTCCCCAAGACGCCATTTCAGCTTCATTTGTTAAAAACAATGCTAGTTAATTAACAAAGCTAATATTTTTTTTGTTGAAATGTTAATTAAGGTGTCCAATTACATATTCGGTTAATAATTTTTATTTGTTTAAACAAAATTACTTTGTTGCAATATAATATTCCAATACCTAAAAAAGTACTTACGTAGCGCAAAAATATCTTTTGTGATGTAACTCTTTCAAAAGTACATAAAAATGGTTGCCAGCAGGGGTGTACATGTAGATTTATTAAATACACCTTGTGTGCCACCTAGGAACCAAATCTGGAATCCGACACTCGAAATTTTTGCTCTGTTACAATCGTACCCTGTTACAATTGACCCCACTCTCCCCTACTAATAGTTTAAAAGATATAAAAAAAAAAATTTGTATAAAAAGTACTTATACATTAACGTGTATGATATTGTTATATAAGCAAGTAGATTTTTTGCTACGCTGAATTGAATGAGTTCAAAATCAAGTCTATGGAATCAATATAGAGTACAAGTTTGAAAGTTTTATACGTACATAGAATAATTTTTGAATAATGCATGTACATGCGTCTAACATTGCTATCTAGGCAGGAAAGGCATTCCTTCCAACGTACGTTTTTAAGCTAAATGAAATAAAAATTAAGTCGATAGACCTAAAGAATTAAGTGTTTTAGGTATATGAACTATAATTTTTAACTTAATACCATTTTACACATAAAACTCCAAAATTACTATTTTTTTTCTACTGTAATTTTGATTTTAATGGATTTAAAATTATTATTACCTCACTTGTATAGATAGAAATATCAGACATAAGAACAAAGCTTTGATAACTTTTGAACTATTAGTCCAATCACCTTTGTTTTGGTTTCATTTCTATATGGGAGGAAATTATACGTAGGAAATAATATCCTCACTTGCAATGTCTGATACGTTAATAGGTAGGTATAAATGCAATACACTATTTATATATAAAGGCGTAATGACTTATTAATTATTAGTCCTATTAACTTGAAATTCGATTTATCGATTCATCATTAAAAATATTTTGGAAACAATGTCTCATTTGTTTAGATAAAAAAAGTTTAAGTAAAAGTTAATTAGTTTAGATAGAAGTTACCCCCTTTTACTCTCTCTCCAGTCACGGGTGATCACTATTGATCACTATGATCACTATTGATTTTCTTACATTATGTTATGTTACTACTTATGTTTTATATTTTATTATTATTCAGTACAATTAAGATTAATATACGCTTGCTACATACATATTATCCAAATTTTATTATGACTTTATGAAGAGTATCAATAAATAAATAAATAAAATTTGTATTTTTATGGACTAGTTTTAAAGAAAATTATTGTTTCAATAAATTACCATATTTATTGGAATATTTTATAAGATTATTAGATTCATTTACACAAAATATAAATGAAAAATTTACGATGTATTTCCTTGATTTTAATCATTTTCTAAATCCAAGATCTCTTATTATGGAATAGAGATCTTTTAAATTTCTTTTTAAAAAAGTACTATGCTGTTGAGAAATAAGTGGTACACTACTGAGTAATAATCGCCTGAAAAAATCTTAGAGTTGTGTAAGTTTAGATTGATCAAGGCTAAATTGATCTATTAAACAAGGTACCTAACTTTCAGAAAATTATTCAAATAATAATTAAATATATTTTATTACTACAGAAAACCGCACACATTACAATACAATTGCTTTTTAAAACGGACCGACAATGAACTGATATCTTAAATTCAAACAGTTATTATTATTGAAATTGTTGTTTTAAAAGTATTATTTTTGAGAATATTAAAATTCAGAAATTTAAAATAAATAAAAATAGGTTATATACCTTTATTTTTAATGAAAATAATAAAAGCATTCGTGCTTAATTTTTAATCATTGTTACATTAAAGAATAAACTAGAAGGAAATTACTAAACCTACTGTTTTACATTTTAATCATTAAAATCAATAGGGGCAACTTTGGACGCCTATTTTTTGTTTCCAGTTGTTCTGCATGGATCATTCTTTGGTTTCTTTTTAATCAGGTGTTTGTTAAAATAACAAAATTTGTTTCTGTTAAGGTAACGAAGTTTTTTTGTTAAAATAACAGTATTATATTCTTAAAATACAGGTGTCCGCTTTTAAATAACATTATTTTTTCCGAGAAATTATCGATTTTATACTGGCTCACTATCTTGCAGTCTTTTCTGCACATTTAATAGATTTTTTTTACAGTGAATAAATAAATATCGACTAAAACATATTTCCCTTTTTAATACCTATAAAACTATTTAAAAATTTTATCCAATTTAGAAAAAAATATTTTTTATTAAAAAATTAATTGAACTTTAATTAGAAAATATTGCACGATCAAAATCAAAAAACCTTTGCTTTCAATATTAAGATATCAGAATTTTATTCTAGACATTTATGTCAGCTGACAATATCTGTCGATCTATATATATTTTTTTTTCCTCATAGATTAAAAGTTACTGTAATTGCTATGTTCTATCTGACATTAACAGTACCATAAATTAAAACTAAAATGCATAAATCGTACATTGTGTATTTTTACTGTTATCTACTCGAATTTTTTTAAGTAATATGTTTGTTTAGTTTATCCTTGTGACAATTTATTCGAAAAAATGTTTATTTTTAATTTCATTAACGAATAAAAATGTCTGATTTTACGAACAATACGTGCAAAAAAAA